CAGAAAAATACAAGTTTACATATTCTAATAAAAGGTGATTTGAGGAGTGGAGTTTTGTATTTCATCTTTCATGGAAGATTCCATCAGTCACGGTGCACTAATTGATATAGGCTATGGAATTCTGAATTGAGTGCCTTCAGTTGTGGCACAGACAAGGAAATGTCTTCAAATACTTCTGGGGGAGGAGTGAAAGCTCTATTATAAATGAATGCTTATACTCTGATTTTTATTTGTAAGTAAGTTAATTTTATACCTGTAATGTTTTCTTCTTGTTGAGAAAAACATTCCTGGGTACTGAATTTCTCTCTTTCAATGCCCTTTAGTCACTATGATGCATTTTTCTTCAAGCTCACTACTGCATAGCTAAGTAATATTTGAGAAATTTGGCTTACATTTGTGTATGTAACATTAGTTATGTCAGACGCCTTGAGTCTGTGTTGTTTCTTGGGAAGGTGAAGGGCATTGCAGGGAAGGTTCTAGCATGTGTTAAGGGGGAAAGACATCTAGAGAACTTTGGCAAATACAAATTTTGTTGTAAGAAATTTCTTTTTAAAATTATGATTATTTTTTACTAAGGAAACTTGCATCTCAGTAAGATAACAATTAAAACTGTTAACAGCCAACTGCGGAAAAGGTGGCCTACTGTGTTATCAACTGATTTTTCATCTAGGAAGGGATAGATCAGCACCCTCTATAGTAGGACTAACACCAGTTTCATCTTCAAAGCATGTTAGGCTGGTTGAGTCAAGTCAGTAGAGAAATGCTGCCTGCTAGATTGGATGATAACAAGGCAGGACACTTCAAAAGCACTGTTGTTTGCCTGCTTGCTGACTTGTTTTTAGACAGTATTGTCATGTAGGATAGCTATTTTTTTCACTTGTATTTCTTCCTTTAAAAGTGTTAGGTACCTTTACATTATTTCTAGCTTAGGTGAGGTGTGTGTGCTTCTAAATTGATTCTTCCATCCATTTAAATTTTACCATATGTTGGTTTGCATCTTTGAGTCGCTAGCTGTTAGTTGGTCTCAGTAGTAATTCTATGTATGGTGCCCTGGCAGTGAGACCACTGGGGCAGCAAGAAAGGGCAATAATAAACGTGAAAGTAATATTTAGCAACACCATTGCTTCAGCAAGGTGGGTGACTTTTCACAGTGCCTGCATAGTGGCGTAGTGCAGTTTATCTTTGCGGTGATCAGCCAGTACACACACCACTTGACATTTGTTTCATTATGTAACTGGCTTCTTCCCTGTTTGTTGTAGTTCTTTGTTCTACATGGAAATAATCACAGAGTTTAAGAGGTCAGTATTTTGGTATTTTCAAACATCCATTACATCATGGTGTTATTTTCCACATGTCAGAGTACTTGTCTCTTAACAAGTGCTTCAAATGATCTGATTCAGATGGAGTTAGTTAAGTTATGGTCTTTCTTCCTGTTCCAGTGATGAACTGTAGGACACCAAGGTAGATGCATGTTAAGATTTCATGTTATGTTCTCACATGCCTTACTTGCTAAAGTTTTCACTGTAAAGCTGTGTTGTGTGTAGTGTTCTGTATGCCTGTATAATTGTCACTGTCTTGGAAGATGGGTGATGTGAAGCAGTGTTTGGTGATGCATAGGTGCTTATAGAGGCAGACATGATGATATATAGGTGGTGGTGATACGAAGATACGAATACAATGCAAAAAATGGGTAAATACCAGTAGTACTGTGTTATTAGCTTTTACTGCTTGTTGTTTTTGTGCCTCTAAAACAGACTGCCTGGGCAGCAGCAGTTTGAGTACTGGCACAGGCTGCCCAGAGGCTGTGGAGACACCTTCCTGGAGGTCTTGCAAAGGCACCTGGATGTGACCCTGCTCTGGGTGCCCCTGCTGGAGCAGGGCTTGGGCCAGGTGGACCCAGAGGCCATTCCAGTCCCAACTGTGCTGTGATTCTGTTTGTTCCCACGTCTGGGCTCACGTGGGGAAGCCAGCCCCCTGTACTAACCGAAGTTGGTGTTCCCATCTCTCATCTGCACAGAGCTGAGCTGCTCTATGGGAGACTGAGTGTCTATTGTGTGAGTTGCTCAGTGCACCCCAAAAAGTAGAGGATCATTTTTGGGATTTTCCCGTGTCCAAGTTAGATGGCAGAGGAAGAGCCTTTATACTCTGTCACAGCCATCTTTGAGTGAAATCTCCTGATCCCGATTCCTGTCTTTCATGGCAGATGTAACGAGGTACAACTCTTCTTATGCTTTACTCCTCTGCTGACTTCTTGTCCAAACGATCTTATGATACTGCAATAGTTGGTACCACAGTGCTTCCCCTCTGCATCTGTATTTGCAAAATGGGAGGATCAGCTGGGGCTGATAGTGCTTACCATAACAATTCCCAAGAAACCTTTCAGAGGGAGGGATACTTAGATATTACAGTAGTTGTTATGTGTCAGATGTGAGTGTGTGGTTTAACATACTTTCAAGCTCCTGCTGCATACTATGTCCTGCCTTTGCAACTAACACTGTGCACAGTTTAAATTATTTATTTGTGGGAAGGAATAACATCCTTTATGACAGACAAAAGCAGAGCTGTAGAGGAAAGTCTGAGTAGCTTGTGGGGTTTTGTGTTGGTTTAAAACATCCGTACTGGTTTGTACTGATAAAACATTCATAAACAACTGCATTGAAATTAGTAATGTCATCCTCTGAAATTCATGTGAGACTGAACACTGAATGAAATAGCCTTGAATAATGAGAGAGCTGTATTGTTAATATATGCATATCTTAGCATATTTTACTTACTAGGGAGATATTTATTGTGCTAGAAATCTAAATATAATGTTCTGGTCTGTACAAACAGAAACATCAAAGTCTTGATCACAATATTCTCCCTTCCAAAGCTAGAGTAAAGCAGCCACTCCACCCTTTGAAAACAGACAATTTCCTGAAAACCTGTTCTAGAATTAATGTATTTTTTATGAAGTAGAGATTTGAGCAATAGGATAAATGGCCTCCTCATTTCCTTTTTTTCTGCTTTGTTTGTAAATAATATTCGCCTTGCCAGAACTCAGGGGTGGATTTCAGTAAGGCTGCAAAAAAAAAAAACAGGCATTCAGTAGTCATGGAGTGCTATAATCTCAAATGAGATCTTATATCCCTTACCACTAACATTGCCATTTGAGAGCAGCTGTGAAATATTAAGAGCTGTTTTTAATGCTGCTTATGATTTTGAGTCAGTTTTATTGCTACAAAGTCCGTGGCCATTTGCTATATCTTTAATGTAAGGAAAGATACAGTTGGGAAGGAGTCACACCTGTTTTTAGGATACTTTGCTGTGTACTATGTGCTATTTTTTTATTTACTTAGGCCTGACTTCACACTGGAACATGCTCAAATGTTAGTTTGATAGGAGGTGTGTATGTATGTATGTAGACAGAGGGTGATGTTGTATGCAACGTAAGTGATACAGGGTTGGATACATTTGATTTTCACTAAAGGCAATCAGTATAAGACCTGCAGAAAGATGTTTATTCTTTGAATTTTCCAGAGAATGGAATTTTTTATGTCTAAATAACAATGAAAACAAATTCTGCATCCTTTGAAATCCACTTTTCATTGCACCAGTTGCATCAGTTGGAAGCAAAGGGTAACCAAAGATACTTTCTCTGACTTCTTGGAGCATCATAACTAACAGAGTTGCTGGGCAGCACCTGCAGCTAGTGCTAGGCCAGTGCTAGCTGTACTATGCTATCCTTTAATTTTACAGAAGTCAAGGTCTGTAAAAAAAAATGCTCTGAGTAGTTTGTATTTTCACAGCAAGTGGAGCAGCCCCGTGTCTTTGCTTTCTGTGAATGGTCTGCATTTCTCAACTTTTGTGAGATATGTTGCACAGTGTGTGAATTCACTCCTGGAGGGTAGCTCACCGTTTGGCCTTGCATCACCTGCTTTGAGATCCTACATTAACGTGGTTGCTGCTGAGGAAGCTGCGCTTTGAAACTAATGAACACAGCGTGCCAAAACTGTTTAATTCCATTTAAAAATACGTAAAAATGGTGCAACTTTGAGATGTTTTTGAACAGAATGTATCTGGAACCCTGCGTCTCTAGGGCGTTTTGGACTATATTTAAATAACTTTCTGGTGGTGAGAGAGTGCTAGATGCTCTTATTGTAAGCATGTAGGTATTATGTTATGGCACACAAGACTTGCTGGGTGACCTATCTGCTTTTGGATCTGTATGAAATGGCTTTGTGGCCAATCTAAACATGCTGAGAAAACAGAACTCAAAGGACTGGTTTTCCTGCATTCGCGGCTAATATTATCTTGCCTGTGTGCTTGCCTTTGGATTAAGAAACAGGTTAATTAAACATGCTTAGTTAATTTGCCATGTATGATTGATGGATTGGATCACAAACTCCACTGCCTCCGCCCTTCAGGCTTCTGGCAGGAGAGTGTTGCATCCATTCTCTCCAATTTCTTTTTGTTTTTCTATGTCCTGACTAGAGGGATTGCTTCAGCATGCCTAAGTTCAGCAAAACCTCAGTCTAAATTTCTTTTCTGAGATCCAAATTTACAGGTCTGGTGTTAACAAGGCCTACAGCTGTGACCAGTAGGTGTGTGTGTGTGTGTGTGTGTGTGTGTATAGTCAAAGTAAATCAACGATTGCTTGGGGATAAATGCCTTTGACTGAACTAACTGTACAGTATACGTATGTGAGAATCAAGATTGAAATGTCATGTGAAATGCATAATTATACCTCAGTGCACATGTTCTGACAAAACATCTGGTTCTTGAAGAGTGGCTTGTTTCCCCACGTGTGCTGTGGTCAGACTCATAGTTGTGACTGTGTTATAGATGCCTGCAATGCGTGTGAGCTGCCACTCCTAGCTGTACATGCTTGTCTTAAAATCTTTGGAGGAAAGGCATCTGTCTTTACAAAAAAACCTCACTTAATTTTTTTTTTCTCAACTGGTTAACCTCACTGTATGAATAGTTGCAACATTAATGTTTTACTGCTTTTGATTTCCTAGGGCGCCAATGCCTCAGCTTTGGAGAAAGAGATTGGTCCAGAACAATTTCCAGTCAATGAACACTATTTTGGTTTAGTTAATGTAAGTTTCAGTTCCTAATTCTATTGCTTTGAAATGTAGCTGGATTGGTTAGATCACAAGATTGCCCCTGAGTGAGTAGTTAAAAAGCTGAACGATGCAGTCATTGAATATACGTTTTGAAATGTATTTAAATATTCAGCATATTTGTTAAAATATCTCAATGAAATAATAGTTGAAATTCAGCTGATCATTTATTTCACTTCACTTTTTACAGGGTAATTATGAAGCCCTTTCTTGCGATTAAACTGTGACTTAAAAAAACAAAAAGCTATTTGGAATATACTGTTTGTAGTTGGTAATATGCCAACTTAAGTGGATAAATACAGTACAGGAAAAAATCTGTGAAACTGTTGGTGATATTAAGTCTTTACATCTGCCATTTTTATTGAGATGTTAAAAAATACTGAGCCTGAAGGGGAAAGCAAGTGTGGAAAATCATATGAAATGGTTCAGTTTGATGATTAGTTTTCAGGAATAATTTAAAATGTTATTTCTGGTGTTACCCATGGAAAATGTATCTTGTTAGAAATTGTATGATTGTGTCTGAAATTAATTACTGAGTATTTTATTTGGGGATATGTTGGAAAGTACATACAAAAACAAGGTTGATTTAACATGATCTGTCATCTTGCTTTTTGTAGTGAAACTAATCACTTGTAATGCTGTCCTGCTACTACAGCACATCTCTGCCTCTAGGTTCTTAGTACTGACGTGGTCTAGGAGTCTAAAATCCTGGTATATGCTGTACAGTCATTAAACAGTCTTACTGATAAGCTGACTTAGATGCAGCTCAGCTGTCATGACTTCAATTAGTCATTTTTTCCATTCTCGTGGAAGTTGAAATAGTGCATTGTTTCTCTTAAAAGAGAAGTATGACTGAAGTATGGACCAGATGAGCAGATGGTGAGGTGGATTTAGAACTGGCTGAGTGACTGGGTTTAGAGGTTGTCGGTCAGTGGCACAGAGTCTGGTTGAAGGCCAGTAAAGAACAGAATACCCCAGGGATAGAGACTGGATCCAGTCATGTTCAATGTCTTCATTAACAACCTGGATGATGGGATAGAATGCACCCTCAGTAAATGCACAGATGATGTGAAACTGAGGGAAATGCTGACTCGCTGGAGAGCTGTGCAGCCATCCAGAGGAACTTCAGCAGGTCTGGAGAGGGCCTGACAGGAACCGCATGGAGGCTTTGTGCAGGGCCCTTTTCCAGGCTCCAGGATGTGCTGGGGGCACCCAGCTGGAAAGTGACACTCTTGAAAAAGGCCTGGAGTTCTTGGTGGACACCGAGTTGAACATGAGCCAGCAGTAGGCAAAGTAGGCCATTGGTATTCTTGGCTTTATTATGGAGAGCACAGCCAGCAAATCAAGACCCTCCTCATCTACTTTGGTGAGGCTGAAGCTGGAGCACTCTGTCCAGTTCAGGGCCCTCTATGGTGCCAAGAGGACAAATTGACAGTTAGCACTGGGCAATATTGGTAGGACAAAAGGCAGCAGGGACACATTGTCTGGCACACAGGATTTGAGAGAGAAGTATCTGAGAAGCAGGCAGCACTTGCAGCCATCCAGAGAGGCCTAGGCAGGGTGAAGCAGTGGGCCCAGGAGAACCTCATGACATTGAACAAAGCCATGTGCACGTGGATTGTGTCAGCCCTCACTGTCAATACAAGCTGGGGATGAAAGCATTGAACACAGGACTTCAGAGTGCTGGTGGATGGCAAGCTGGACATGAGCAGTGCGCCCTCGCAGCCCAGAAAGACAACCACATCCTGGGCTGCATCCACAGCAGCATGGCCAGCAGAGAGAGGGAGTGATCCTGACCGTACACTGCGTTGGTGAGGCCTCACCTGGAGTCCAGATGGGGAATCCTCAGTACAGGAGGGACGTGGAGCTGTTGGAGTGCATCCAGAGGGGGGCCACAAAAGTAATCTGAGAAATGAAGACCTGATAACAGCCTTTCAGTATATGAAGGGGAGCTATAAGAAAGAAGGAGAAAGACACATTGAAAAGTCTTTTTATTAATTCTTGTTGTCCTTTTATTAATTTATTTCAGTGCATTTTGAGTGTTCTATAAGCTGTATTTCGTATTTCTTTTTTTCTTCAATTTTTTAATACAAACAATGTCCTTGCTAGCTTTCTGATTAACTTGCATAGTACTCCTGTTTGTCACTGAACTGGGAGAGAACTGAAAAGAGAGAGCTTTCCTTTTACTCCAAAGATATAAAGTCTTTTGTCCTTTTTCTCTGTTGATACAACCTGTTCTTAATGAATTGTGAAGGGGAGAGTTTTCTTATAATTTCATGCCTCTATTTGCTAATATTTCATATAAGAATTAAGAACATTATTTTCATATGTTGGAGGAGGTGCGTAGTAGGTATGTGCTTCAATTTGCTGTCTGAGTGACTGCTGCTGAAAGGTTAGATTACTTGCTGACAGCCTTATAAAGAATTTTGTCACTTTGTGTTAGATAATGGGTTTTCCTGCAGGAGGGCTGTATAAAATGAGTGAGTCTTCACTGACAATTCATGTTGCCTTCACAGAAGTGATGGGGAAGTTTGTCACATTGGGATGGGTTAGAGACAGCATCAGTGATGGCAAGACTTGAGGGAAGCTGTGCCTAGGACCTGGAAAGTCAGGGGAAGAGGAACGCTCAGTGTTCTGACAAAAAGAGTTGTGGATGCTCTTAGAGCTGTCTCTGTTTGCACCATTTCAATTCAGTGACCTACCTCATTAAAAATGCCCATGGTCAGTTCTTTTCCTTCCCTCCTCTGTTTGAGACTTAATACCTCTGACATAGCTTCATATTCTCAATAAGCCACGGTTCACTGTTTTAAGAAAACTCCAGAAAGGCAGTTCTGTCACCTAAAATGAGAACTGAAAACATAAGAGCAGGTTAAAGGAGTTACTTCTGATGTTGATCACAGCTAATAAGATGTGGAGAAACCAATTTCTGAGGTGTCTGAGAAGGTCTCTTCTCACAGTACAAAACCATGCTGTATCTATTCTGTACTCTTGTGGTTAGATGAATAGATGTGATATATGGATAGCTATTTTTACCTGGGCAGCTGTGAAATTGATGGTATTTGTTTTGAGCCGGGTTAATGCATAATTCTGTTAATAAATTTACAGGAAGATAAAATTATAGCGTTGATCAAATTCACTACTTCTTTGTTGTTGTCATATTTGCATACAACACACTTCTTACTCTGTGGTAAAGCACGTTTCTGTTTTGTGATCTTAAAAGTAAGGAAGAAATGACTTACAGAAAATTTGCTCATGTGGATTTTTTTGTGCTTTGGATTAAATGTTATTCCCCTACAGTAACACAGTGCAAACTAATAAATCTCTCTCTTATTTTTATAGTTTGGGAATACATGCTACTGCAATTCAGTTCTTCAGGCACTTTATTTTTGTCGTCCATTTCGAGACAAAGTCTTAGCATACAAAAGTCAACCAAGAAAAAAAGAGAATCTCCTTACATGCTTAGCTGACCTCTTCCACAGTATAGCCACCCAGAAGAAAAAAGTTGGAGTTATACCTCCCAAGAAATTTATAACAAGATTACGAAAAGAAAATGGTAACTTCTTTTTTTTCTTGTGTAATATAGCAAATATGACTTAGTTCTGAAGTTGAAATGGTGGCATATCTACGTGTTATGGATGAAAAGTGTTCTTTGTGCTGTAGTGTGAAGTAGAGGTAACCTTAGAATAAGAGTGTAACCTTGGAGCTGTCCAGAAAGAATCATCGTCTCTCTTTGTGTATAACTGAGTCTTCTGTCAGTGTCTGCTTCTGAAATTGCATGCTAGTTTTGTCTAAGAACTGTATTTTCATAATCAGAATTCACTCTAAAGCTTTTGTTTTTGTTCTGAAAAGATTGTTATGATTTGAATGTGGTGAGCAGTCTGCCAAATTGACTGTATGGAATGCACATCGAGGCATCCCTGCCATAATCTAGCTTAAAATCCTATAAATTTTAAGTTGTTAGGTTTGGGGTTTTTTTTTTTTTTTTTTTTTTTCATTTCTTATCTTGATTTACTTCTTAAATAATTAATGCATTTTAAAATCAATAAGCAGTTTTATCTAACTTCTTAATGTAATAAATATCCAGAATTTTTAAAGTTTTCCAGAGATTTTTAACGTTTTGTGTTTCTTATAAAAAAAAAAAAAAAAAAAATTCTTATCTCTGACCTGTGCAGAATAGGAAACTCATTGAGTTCTGCAGTGAGTTTACTTGAATGTCTTTGCATTTCAATGCATTTGTAGAAATAATCCATTATTCTTTCACTATTTGATCAATGGATGTTAACTGTGTAGAGAATGGTTCAAATGGAAAGTAGAAAGTAGATCACAGGAACCGTTACTTTTTTTTTTTAATAAAGTTGTTTGTAATGCTCAGTTATTTAATGACACTCGAATTCTAAGCAGAAAAAGGCAATATTGGAAAATATTCTGTAGAGAGATCAGATGTTCACCTCTTGTTTGCTTTTTTTGTCTCTAGCTGATGATACTCTTACCTCTTCTATAGAATTAAATGGGTAATTTTTTTGAGCAGTGATAACGTGGACATCATATATGCTTTTACTTGCTCATTGTAAAGGTGTACAATTTTGAGCTTTAGAGAAGAGTTAGTTGCAGAAAGTATCGGATAGGTTGGCACTGCATACCTAAATTCTGTTCCAGTAAGCATCCAGCTGTACCAGGGCAATGACTGAAAACATAATCTCCACGTATTCCACTTTACAGTGCTGCTATTCAGTCTTTGTTTTCTAAACCTGAATCCAACATACATCTATTAATTACCTTGAAGCTTAACAGGCTGGGAAGCAGCTACTGGCTTGAGGTCAGCTGAAGGTATACTGTTATGTTTGCTTAAATTTCTTCTAATCATAAAATGAACCAACTGAGTAGGTATCCCTAAGAGATCTGTTATGTGGCATGGTGAAGAATCTCTGGAGTGTTTAACCTCAGGAGATTTGCAGCTTTGATGTTCTTGATTAAATAAAGATTTCGTAGGTGGTTAGATTCAGAGTTGAACTTTTCCTTCTCAAAAATAGTGCTGTAGGTGTTCATTAAATAACCTACTTGATTCATATGCTTGGCTGCTTCATTGCAGCTCTCCAGATGATACAGATTAGCATCACCTTCTCTTGAACTTGCTAGTAATTCAGGTTTTTATGTATTTCAATTCGACGTTTACTTCTGGATGCAATCAAATGAATGATGGCAAAGCTATGAAGTAGTCCCTGTATGCACTTCTGAACTTAAACTTCACTGAGGACTTTTTTTTTTAATGTCATCTTTCCAATCCTGGAAACTATCCTTCCAGTGAAGGCCAGTCTCTTTTAGTCTCGTAATATTCTTGCACTAAAAGGAAATTGGAAGTTATAGTTTTTTGCAATTGGAGCAATTGCTAAAAAGACATCTGTGATATTAGCCCATTATATAGAATGCTTTTCAAATTGGCAGGTAAATTTCCTTGCTAAGAACTCCTGGTCAGAAAGGGAAAAGTGACTGTTAATAAATCAAGTTCAGTGCCGTTAGTTTTTCTTAGTCCTATAAAAAAGGATTTGTCGACTGAGATGATGTCTCAGTTTATTGAAGTCCACTGAAATATGTGCCAGTGATACTATTTGCTGTCAGCTGAGTGAATCCTATGACAACTATGCTTAGAAATGTCAACAAACAACTGTTTGTGCATACTTCTATTATACATTATATATTATCCAGAGACAGAAATGTTCAAATCATTCCTTTGCTTGTAGTTTGTGTTAATCATGCGACAGAATATATAAACCACTGAAATATTTCCTATTCTGAGTTCATTTGTGAAAATATCAATATGTAATGCCATTTGAAATGCCCTTTGTTATCCAAGACATTGGTCTAAGCTTGTCAGAAGTAGAATACCCCTGTTGGAGATCCAAATCCTTATGGACTGACTTCTGGAGTATGGTCCAAAGCAAGCTATAAAATTTCGGGCAGCACTGTATGTGCACCAGTGTTTCAGTAGCAGAGTAATGGCCAAGTTTTCTTGCAGAATGGCTTACTTTTCTGGTAATTCTCATCAGCTATTTACAAGAATGTAAGCTATGTCTTTCTCCACCCCTGAGAATTGTTGGCTTAATAAATGAAGTGCTGATTTTGATGGTGCTTTTACACAAATCACAAATGATTCAAACCTGAAACAAAGACTAATTTTGAAATTTTCCTTTTCTAAAAAAACTTGTTTATGGTATAGCACTAGCCAATTCATTTTTAAAATATCCTGTTTCTTTTTTCTTTTTTTTTTTTTTAATCTTACAGAGCTTTTTGATAACTACATGCAGCAGGATGCACACGAGTTCTTAAACTACCTGTTAAATACAATTGCGGATATCTTGCAAGAGGAAAGAAAACAAGAGAAGCAAAATGGTCGCTTACCCAATGGCAATATTGATAATGAAAATAACAGCCCACCAGACCCAACGTGGGTTCATGAAATCTTTCAGGGAACGTTAACAAATGAAACCAGATGTCTTACGTGTGAAACTGTAAGTCCATATTTCCTTCATAAAGTAAATTCTTCACATTACAGAACTTCGTTTCATGATTCATTTGTCTCAACAGACTGGTAGATTAGATTCATTTCTTTCCTCAGATATCTTACATGTGTATGAATGGTTTTGTTTTTAATTTGCCAATGAGAAATTTCCAGCAGCAGGTGCATGATTTGTATAAAAAAGGTATTGATCAGTATTAGGAAAATGCCCAGTTGAATTTTGTTTGTGTAGTCATAATCAACTTCAAAATTGAGATTAGAGAAGTCTAAGTTGATGTGTTTGTAGGAGCAGTGAAGCCTGCTGCACAGGGATGGGGAGTTTTTCTCCAAAGTGATGTCTTAAAGACTTAATGTCATATTTAGTTGTGCATTCCAGAAATAAACATTCCGAATCAGTTTCCATAGACTTCTAGTTGTGAAATTTAAATCCATTGAAATCATAGCACTGTTGTTTCCTCTTAAATGTCTGCCCACAGAAATTCTTTTCTTACTGGACCATGAGAAATAAGCTTCATTTTTAAGTGAGCTGTGCTAAAATTTTCTTGGAGAATAGTTCTACAGTAGAAGAAATAAGCTATTCTGGAGAAAAACTTATAATTGAATTTTGCCTGCTTCAGAAAAAGCAGCACAGTATGAAAATTACAGTAATTCTCTCATGGTCTGTGCCCTTAGATATTGTAAAAAGCTAAATGACTATATTTTTTGTGTGACTCTCTATACCTATTTGCCTTAATTACATAATGCACATATTTCAGCAATGGAAAGGAGGAATTAGTCAGACGAAAACTATATACTTGTATTTTTTCTGTCTTCTGGAAATATCATCTTTTTGATGTGGGAAAAAAAAAAATCAACAAAAAAAAGTTTCCTAATGTGATATATAATGCAACTGCAGACTTCAGTAGATCCTGATATTTTGAGTAATTTAAGTGCTGATTTCTGCCTACCACCTTTTATTTCTGGTTTATGCTGTCTAGTTATTACTTCGTGGCAACTGCAAATTACTTTTCTTTAGCTCTTGTACTGATTTTTTTTCTATTTACTTACCATAAAATATGTCTTTAGTTTAGTCTCTTAATAGGACTGATGTCATTGCCATTCCTCACTGTGGCATCATGAATTATTCCTGTCAGGATTTTGATCTACGTGCAGTCTTAACACAATCTAAAAATGCTGAAGAATTCTTTGCCAGCATTATTTTGTTAGTTACTGGACCTATCACAATTCTGAGCCTTCCTAATATTGCTTGGTTCTGTTTTTCTGTTAGCTGTTGCTGAATGGGATATGCCACATCTGCTCAAAGCTGGCTAGTTGAATTTTAAAGAATATCACAAGAAGAAGAATATCAGAATATCATAAATTTTCTTCTGTATTCCTAGCCCTAATAATCTGGAATAACAATCTACTAAGCATATCAGCTTCTGTCTGATTAAAACACAGTGAACTGAAAACAGGCACTTAGAAAGAAACACACTTAGACATAGCAAGTATGTAATACTAGTGTGAATAAACACAGTGAACACAAAGACTCTTTAATGCTTATTGAAGGTGTTGGCGGTTAGATTTCAAAGTGTAACTTAAAATGCTATATAGCAGGTTATGCAACAAGAAGTGAGTTAGTGCTTCTTAATGATAAGATAATAACCTTAGCTTTTGTTGTTTTTTTTACTTAAATGTGGAATTTAATGCAAACTGAGATATATTTTGTTTTTCTATTTTACTTCCAAATAGGAATGATCATCTTCTAACCATTCAGAACAGTGCAATCTTTCTAAAAACTGACAGAGCAAGATTTCATTGTAATTTTGGTTGTCCTGATTATAGAAAAGAGTTTCTTTCCAGGATGCACAGACTCACTGTTAACTGTAACTGTTAAGTTACACTAACACAAGTTAGAAATCTGATTGTAAATTGTCTTTATGTTCTCTAGAGGTGATATCCTGTTATGATTCCTTCCCCTTCTGTGGTAAAGATATGAAATATGACGGAGTGAATATTACCTTTTTATTGTGGGTAGTTGATGGGAAAAAAAATATGTAGAAGTTCATTGATTTTTTTTTTTTATTATTTTTTTTTTTTATGGCGTTCTCCTCAAAATTTCAGGAAGTTGTATCAGAGAACCAGAAAATAATGTTATTAACAAAGGGGAAACAGTGTTGGGCCAAAAACATTGGATCAAAATGATGATGGTTTTCTTTTTCAGCAGTTGGTTTTATTCTCATTCTCATGTAACTCTCCATGATATAAAGTTGTTATACTTCAGGCTGAGGGGGTAACATTAAAGAAAATCTCAGTGGTCTCTCATACAGGAGCAGTATGGAGACTTATCTATGTCCTGCTCTCTCTTCTTCCCTCTCAATAAATCATGCCCTTCCTTTCAGCTTCACTGAAAAATAGTTTCTATCTTAGCATATATGGGAGTCTGCAACTACAAGAGTCTTTTTTGTGCATGAGGTAATGCATATTGCTAAGTGAAATTCCAAACCAAAAGTAATACTTGTTTTTTTGTGGTAGCATTCTGAGTTTTGTCTGTGGCACTGGCCATCAGGCTACAGGTGAGCAATCTGTGCAAAATTATGTCCAGGATGTGAGAACAAGGTGTGGTCCCTTTAACTAGAATCATAGAATGGCCTGTGTTGAAAAGGACCTCAAAGATCATTGAGTTTCAACCCCCTGCTATGTGCAGGGTCACCAACCAGCAGACCAGGCTGCCCAGAGCCACATCCAGCCTGGCCTTGAATGCCTCCAGGGATGGGGCTTCCACAACCTCCTTGGGCAACCTGTTCCAGTGTGTCACCACCCTCTGAGTGAAAAACTTCCTGCTAATTTCTAATCTAAACCTCCCCTGTCTCAGTTTAAAACCATTCCCCCTTATTCTATCACTATCACCCTCGTAAATAGCTGTTCCGCCTCCTGTTTATACGCTCCCTTCAAGTACTGGAAGGCCACAATGAGGTTTCCTTGGAGCCTTCTCTTCTCCCAGTTAAACAAGCCCATTTCCCTCAACCTTTCCTCATAGGAGAAGTGCTCCAGCCTTCTGATCATCTTAGCAGCCCTCCTCTGGACCCATTCCAACAGTTCTGGATCTTTCTTGTGCTTGGAGCCCCAGGCCTGCATGCAGTATTGCAGATATGTTGGAACTCCAGGTATAGAATGTTGGAATGCCTGAATTCTACATCACTATTCAGCTGCATATATTGTGTTAGGAGAACTCATGAGGGTTTTTGAATAGACTGGGACTTCATTCTGCAAATGATGAGGTTTTCTGACCATGTCCATCTTCATTTTACATCCTGTATATAGTTGGAATACATAGCATAGAAGATAAGATTACTTTAGTCTGAGGATTTGATGTTTACTGGAAATAAATACATGATTTATAAGAAAATAGTAATGTTTATTGGAAATAGAACCTCTGGAGAGAAAGGGGGCATGGTTAGAATGGGAGGTTAATTTTATTTATTTATTTTTTTTTTTTGTAAAACTATGTGAGTAAATTGGCAGTTCAGATACTGGTGGCTGAAAAAAACAAAGAATAGCAATTTCTGAACTATGAATATAGATGGAAAAAATGCACTTGATGAACCATAGAATGGCTTTTCATGATCTGAAATGCACAACAGCCAGTTGTTGTGCTGACTTTCATTTTCTCCTGCCTTTGCCAGTGGGAAAAGGGAGAGAACTGGGGGGGGAGAGGAGTGGAATTTGTGGTATGAAATAAAACCTACTTACTGAAAAAGAGAAGGAGGCGAGATATAATAATAATGTTACATATATATGTGTATATTTGTGTATATACACACACACGATTGCTCACCTGCTGACTGATAGCCAGCCAGTCCTCAAGCAAAAATTGCAACCCTCTGGCTAATCCCCCCTCCTCAGTTTTGTAGCTTTTTTTTTTACATGGTGTCTTATGGTATGGAATATTCTTCTGGCCATTTGAGATCAGCTGCCCTAGTTGTGTCCCCTTCCCCTAGGATTTCCACTAGACTCCTTTGCGTACCACTCTTAAGTTTGGTAGTTCTGAAAGCGATGTTTGCAGTGGGTTGTTTTGAAACATGGCTCATCTCCATGCTCCTAAACTGTAGTACTTCCCAGGAGATGGGAAACACACAACCCGCTGAAGATGCGGGAGGCTTCTTTTCCCATCCAAAAAGCATCTTGAAAAATTTCTGGAAGTCTAAACTTAAACATTTAAATTATATTATAGACCTGATGCATACTGGTGTAGCAATCCATTTTCTGTGTGTGCACTTATTCTTGGAAATTTATCTATAGAAGAGTGGGAGGAATCTTTCCCCAGTCCTCTCACAGATATTAACAGAAGATTCTAACTCAACTCCATTTTGTTTCGCCAGTTATGTTAGTTCTCAGAAGTAGTTGTCTTGACCAGCTGTGTTTTTGTTCTTCGTGTATGCTGCCCTTAGCAACTGTGCCCTTCTCGTCTCTTGAGTCAAAGAACAAGTTTTCAGTACTGCAACCAGGCGTGTTTTCTAAAAACATTCACCTTTGTATGTAGTAGTCATAAAAGGCAGTAGACATTCTCACCAGCAGCACTGAATATCTCAAGGTACAAAAGGGAAAGACTACCAGATGCTAAAGGAGAGACACTAGCTATTTCATGAATGTTTTAATAATGTTGCTGATTATCAGGACCACTATGGATTTCATCCATCACCATTTTTCAGGATTTGTGATGAAATTTCTTCTTTGATTACATTTACATTTAGTCTGGGGTAGAGGAGGCTGAAGGGAGACCTTATTGCCCTCTTCCAATGCCTGAAAGATGCTTACAGAGAAAACGAGGTTGGTCTCTTCTCACTGGTGACAGGTGACAGGACGAGGGGAAATGGCCTCTTCTGGCCTGCCTAAATCAGGGGAGGTTTAGGTTGGATATCAGGAAGCACTTCTTTACAGAAAGGGTTGTGAAGCACTGGCATAGGCTGCCCAGGGAGGTGGTTGAGTCACCATCCCTGGATGTGTTTAAAAACCGTTTGGATGTGGTGCTCAGGGACATGATTTAGCAGAGGGTTGTTAGAGTTAGGGTAGGATGGTTAGGTTGTGGTTGGACTTGGTGGTCTTTAAGGTCTTTTCCAGCATGTACAACTAAATGATTCTACCTCTTTGGGCACATGTACGTTTCCCTCTTTCTGAACACAATTAGAAACAGAGATCTTGCAAGTGTCTGTTGTGCTAAGACATTTCACTTGTAACAAGTTTTGGGAAGCCATTATAAGGTAGAAGATTTATTCTGTCAGGAGTGAAACTGGTAAAGAGTTGAATGAGTTTAACAGGTTTAAACCTTTTAATCTGCGCTTTTTTTTTTTTTTCCCTGCAGATAAGCAGCAAAGATGAAGACTTCTTAGATCTTTCTGTTGATGTAGAACAAAATACTTCAATTACTCATTGCTTAAGGTAGATGCAAAAATCTGAACTATATTTTTCCTGTCTTTTTTTGACCTTGAAAGAAGGAAGTAAAATTAAAAGCTCATGGACATTTGACTTAGCAAATTTTAGTTTGTGTAAGCTTAATAAAATGATGGGGCTTTTTTGCATACGTTTATACATATGTTTTAGGTAAGAAGCTAGTATCTCTATAATGTTTTTTTTTTTTCTTTCAGGGGTTTCAGCAATACAGAAACTCTGTGCAGTGAATACAAGTACTACTGTGAAGAGTGCCGCAGTAAGCAAGAAGCACATAAAAGGTAGGTTAGATCAGAAGGAAGAACAATGCAAGTATTTTCATGAAAATACTCGTGTTTCTGCATGTGTCTGTGTGTGTATGAGGCAGGAGGAGAAAGTGCTTTCTCTACTAAATGTTCTCGCTCTTCTTCCTCTAAAGTGTCACTTGGTTATGTTTCTCTTACTTCAGTTCCGTGAGCCTCCTTTTGTAAGTAATGAGAATCTATCGAGAGTGTTCTGGGGGGCCTTTGATCATTATTTATTTTTCTCATTCTAAAAGTAATATTCTTAAGGCCAAAAATAAGATAAAAAGAGAAGTTGGGCTATGAGTGATGAAGGAAGAATTGCTGATAATGATGAAATTTCACTGATTTTTTTTATGGGACTCTTTGCATTTCTGTTCCTCTGAATAACTAAATAATTTTTACCATTGCTGCAAGAAATGGTTTGATAATTCTGACTGAATTGGTGAAAGGTCTTATGCTTGTAGCATTACTTTCTGAGTTTTTACTTAGCTGTGGTAAACATCTGTATGGCAGTGCTCATGGAATGCATTAGAAGTTCCATGGAAATCTGGAGTTCATTTGTGTAAAATATTTCTTGTCTGTCTAATATTTAATTTAGTCTTGTTTACATCTTTGAAAAAAACCTCTTGATTCTATGTACTGTGCTGTATTTTTTTTTTAATCTGAGAAAGGATTTGTCTGTGCATAGATGAGTTGAAGGGATGGGAACATGGAGCTGGGGACATGCTGTACTGGTTATACCACTGGTTCTTGTTTGTGAGTTTACCATAGATTTAACATATGGCTTTTGGCATGTTTCATCTGCAAAGTCTGCATTCATATGTTGCTTAAGCTTACTAACTGATGTGTACGAGGGTGGTTGTGAACTAAGGTCTGTCCTGTTGTTTTCTGTTGCCCTAGCTCTTTTTCTTTGTGGGAGGTAATATGATCCCTAACCATTAATAAGTTGTGTTGACATAAGCCTGTACTGTAGGCATGGACATACTGGCAAAACACAGCCTTTTCTTGTTTTCAATGTGACTGGTTTTACTGCAGTCACAATTTTCTTCCATCTCTATAGCATAATGTTTATCCATCATAGTGTCTTCTCAGCTAGCAAAGGTGACTTTCTTCTCTGTGGAAAGAGCTCCTACTATCAAACACAGTTCTTTTATTAAAAGAGGACTTTAATTTTGCAAAAAGAATCAGAGCAGAAATTATATCCATATATCAGTAATAAAAAGTAACTGTGCTTCTGCCGTCAGCCCTTCTCCAGCATTTTTCATTTCCTAGTTTCCTTGCAGACAAAGGAGAAAAATTGAGTCTAGCAGGGTTTCCACAGCTACTATCAAGTCTATTTTTAATGAGAAAAAGGGAGGGAAGGATTTTGTCCATAGTCCCTTATCTCTTGAAAAAGAATTATGCTGTACAAACATATTTACTGACATTGCAAAAATGCAGTCTTAGTAGACACATCTGAAACCTTCATTGGGCTGTACTGTTGACACTTTGGAGCTACTTTGATGGCTCAAGGCAGTTTGATAAAATTATGTGCCTTAGATCAGTACAGCACAGAAGGAGAGAACTCTAGCTTGGTTGCTATTAATACGGGCAAATTTATCTCCCAGAGAATTTAAGTCTCTGTTGCCAGGTCAGCTATGGTTTACTGATGTGAATTTGTAGGCACTGATGCAAAATTTTACTCCCTCAAACTAAGGGAAAGGGGCCAGCAAGCCATCAATAAAATTAGGTTATCACTTTCAGGCTTTGACTTCAATAAAATAATGCTGCAATGTTTGTACAAAATTACTGTGCTAGAGCTTAGCATTATCTTGTCTTGGCAGCATGAGGTGTGGGGAATAACAGTGTGCTGTCTGTATCTCTTGGTAGTGTTAAATGAAGGGCTTGATGTGAAAACTTGAAGTAGTATAAATGTGACAAAGTAGTATTGCCTTTTCTAAAACGCTTGTTTGACTTGACTGGTTTAATGGGAAATTGAACTGTAACAGAATCTTTGGAACAACTTTGGTGCAGTATCTCCACTGTATACTAAATGGTGTTTAGGTTTGCTTTTGGAAACTCAGGAAAGCTATAGGGAGGTATGTCTAAAATTTGCTGTGTTAGTTTAATTCTGATAGGTAGCTAAACTCCACCACGTTGTGCTCCTGTTCTTTTTCCTCGGGACACGGGGGGGAAATATGTTGAATAATTTCATGGTAGAGATAAGGGAGATCAGGGAAAAGGCACTCAGCACAAGGAATATTGATGTAATTTATTGCTTACTGCTAACACAGTTGCACACGGACGAGAGCAGTGAGAAACTAAAGCCAAGCTACAAACACTTTCCCCTATCCACCCTCTCCTACCTCCTTCCCCCAGGGCAGCATGGGGCTGAGTCAGTCCATAATGTCAGTCTGTGCTGCTGCTCTGAGGTCACTCTCTGCCCTGCTCCATGCATGCTCCTCCTCCCATGGATGTCATTCTTCCCAAACTGATCCCACATGGGCTTCCCACAGGCTCTAGCTCTCCAAGCACTGCCCCTCTAATACAACTCCAGTTTTAGTTTAGCAGTGCAGAACAAATTCAGTATTTGTTACATGGATGGTGATGATTTGAGCACCTTATTAATACTCGCAACGTTTTTTTAAAGACTTAACTGTGTAAGTTACTTGTTTGTTAATGTCAGCAGAATTGTTTGCCTCAATACTGGAAATATTGGTTTTTGTTTGCTTGTTTTTTTTTTCAGGATGAAAGTAAAAAAACTGCCTATGATTCTGGCTCTCCATTTGAAGAGATTTAAATATATGGATCAGCTGCACAGATACACAAAACTCTCTTACAGAGTAGTTTTTCCTTTAGAGCTTCGTTTATTTAACACCTCAGGAGATGCCACCAATCCTGACAGAATGTATGACCTCGTTGCTGTGGTAGTTCATTGTGGAAGGTAATAACAGTATATTATGAAGGAGATTTTTGTATAAAAGCTAAGGTGTTTTTTATTTTTTTTAATGAAGGAAAAAAAAAAGAAAGAAACTCGCAAAATCACATAGCTAATAGCATTTAAAGATCTCTTAAAAATTTCTTAGAAAACAAAGCATTGTGAGGAGGTGCTACTAATCTGGACAGAATACATGGCCTTGTTGCCACCACAGTTCACTTTGGAAAGTAGTAACAATGTATTCATATGAGTATTTATGTGAGGCTAACTATATCAAAAGAAAAATGAAACGTATCCCATATCATACAACTCTAATAACAGATTCTCCCTAATCCAGACCTACAAATTCTTTGAGTGTTGTTAACAGGTTAAGGCAGTTCCAGAGCTGCATTAAATACTTGTTCACTTTCAATTGCGTGGTTCAGGTAAGTGCATCATTTCCTTATCTGAAATCTGCTTAACAATCAGGGTGCTCTTAGAGTTCTTTGTTCATGTTGCAGTTATGGAGAATTTTCTTGTCTGCCCTAAACTGAAGAGCAGTGCATTATCACAGAGTCACAGAATCGTAGGGGTTGGAAGGGACCTCCAGAGATCATCGAGTCCAACCCCCCTGCCAAAGCAGGTTCCCTACAGCAGGTCGCACAGGTAGGCATCCAGGCAGGTCTTGAACATCTCCAGAGAAGGAGACTCCACCACCTCCCTGGGCAGCCTGTTCCAGTGCTCCGTCACCTCACTGTAAAGAAGTTCTTGCGCATGTTTGTGCGGAACTTCCTGTGCTGCAGTTTCCAGCCGTTTCCCCTTGTCCTGTCTCCACACACTGCTGAAAAGAGTCTAGCTTTGCCACTCTGTCCTCCACACCTTAGGTATTTATAGACCTGGATAAGGTCCCCTCTCAGTCTAATTTTCTCAAGGCTGAACAGACTCAGTTCACTCAGCCTTTCCTCGTAGGAGAGATGCTCCAGGCCCTTCACCATCTTCTTGGCCCTCCGCTGGACTCTTTCCAAGAGATCCCTGTCTTTTTTGCACTGGGGAGCCCAGAACTGGATGCAGTACTCCAGATGAGGTCTTACCAGGGCAGAGTAGAGGGGGAGGATCACCTCCCTCGACCTGCTGGCCACGCTCTTATCAATGCACCCCAGGATGCCATTGGCCCTCTTGGCCACAAGGGCACACTGCTGGCTCATGGCCAACCTGTCGTCCACCAGGACACCCAGGTCCCTCTCCGCAGAGCTCCCCTCCAGCAGCTCATCCCCCAACCTGTACTGGTGTATGCAATTATTCCTACCCAGATGCAAGACTCTACACTTGCTTTTGTTAAACCTCACCTGGTTTCTTACTGCCCAGCTCTCCAGCCTGTCCAGGTCTCGCTGAATGGCAGCACAGTCTTCAGGCGTGTCAGCCAATCCTCCCAACTTCGTATCATCAGCAAACTTGCTGAGGGTGGCTATCCCCTCATCAAGGTCATTGATGAAGGTGTTGAACAAGACCAGACCCAACACAAATCCCTGAGGAACACCGCTGGTTACAGGTCTCCAACCGGACTCTGCACCACCAACGACCCTCTGTGCTCTGTCAGTCAGCCAGTTCTCAACCCACCTCACTGTCCACTCATCTATCCCACACTTCCTCAGCTTTGTTATAAGGACATCGTGAGTGACAGTATCAGGGTAAAATCAGGCTGAAATCAGGGTAGACTGTATCCACTGCTCTACCCCCATCCACCCAGCCAGTGACAACATCATAGAAGGCTACCAGGTTGGTCAAGCATGATGTCCCCCTAGTGAACCCGTGCTGACTACTCCTGATTACTTCCTTTTCTTCCAGTTGTCTGGAGATGGCATCCAGCACAAGCTGTTCCATCACCTTTCCAGGGACAGAGGTGAGGCTGACTGGCCTATAATTGCCTGGATCTTCCTTCTTGCCCTTTTTGAAGACCAGAGTGACGCTGGCTATCCTCCAGTCTTCAGGCACCTCCCCCATTCTCCAAGACCTCTCAAAGGTGACAGAGAGTGATTCAGCAATCACCTCTGCCAGCTCCCTCAGCACCCATGGATGCATCCCATCGGGTACACTGATGCTGCCTAGGCGCTCTCAGACCACCTCTTCCCTGACTAAAGGGAAGTCTTCCATTCCCCAGACCCTCTCACTAACCTCCAGGGTCTGGGATTCCTGAGGGAGAGTTTTTTCATTGAAGACAGAAGCAAAGAAGGCATTCAGTATCTCCGCCTTCTCAGCATCCTCCGTTACCAGAACACCCCCGTCACTTAGCAGGGGAGCCACATTCTCCCTAGTCTTCCTTTTTCTGTTAACATACTTAAAGAAGCCTTTTTTATTATCCTTTATCCCCTTTGCCAGATTCAATTCCAGGTGGGCTTTAGCCTTCCTCGTTGCATCCCTGCAGACCCTGACAACATTCCTGTATTCTTCCCAAGTGGTCAGACCCTTTTTCCCATTTCATGGACCACCTTCTTCCCTTTGAGTTTGTGCATGCTCATCCTTGCTCATCCACACAGGTCTCCTGCCACCCTTTCCTGTTTTCTTGCTCACGGGGACACACTGATCCTGAAGAAGAGCTGTTTAAATGTTGACCAGCTCTCACAGGCCCCCTTAATATATAGGCCCCCTCTAATATATAATATAGTTATAATATAATTATTTTAATTATATAACTATAGCTGTTTTAGTTTAAATTGGAAACCCTTTCATTGCTGTAAGGATTTTTCAATCTCCCAAATTATTAGTTTAACTTAGTTGTTTTTTTCTTTATTTTTTCCTTAACATTCAAACAGATAAAGAGATATCATATTGAGACTGTAGTTGAACTATGTGTTTTTCTTTATGAAGATTGTGAAATTCTTTGGGATTTATTCAATCTTATGAAGCATTAAAATAATTTATTTATTTCACATCTCTATTTCTATTTTATTTCCCTTCATTTATGTCTTCATGCCTGGGCTGCATAGTCCTTAATTTTATGTATAAAACATAGGTGTGTAAGGTGTTGCTGAGAAAACTGTTTGAGTTGGTGGAAAAAAGGAAAAGAAACATCCAAACAGAAATTATATGGTAGCCCATTTAATTAGTGTTAAATGCTACTTACTGCAAGGAAAAAAAGCCACACGCTTTAGTGAAACATATTTGTACATTTGTGTGTGTTGTGATCTGAATTCTTCTTTAATTGTATTTTACAGTGGCCCTAACAGAGGACATTATATTGCAATAGTGAAGAGTCACGATTTTTGGTTGCTTTTTGATGATGATATTGTTGAGGTAAGCTTTGTGTAACCCTGGATTTTTTTCACATACTTATCAGAGCACTTGCACGCAGTATGAGTATATATATTCAATGTCTGATCTATTGGGCTGCATCAGTCTGGTAGTGTTAGATGGAGTGACCTGGATGGTTTCAGAAAAAAATGGAACAAGAGTTAAAGTAAACTGAAACCTGTCAGATTGCAATGTAAAATCTAGAAGTTAATCCTTGAAAAATCTTTTGCTTATGATATTGTTGCTAATGTTAGCCATGCTTCTAGGAATTCAAGAATTCCTAACAAGTTAATAAATAAATAAATAGCTTTTAACTAATCATAGAATCATAGAATAGCCTGGGTTGAAAAGGACCTCAAAGATCATTGAGTTTCAACCCCCTGCTATGTGCAGGGTCACCAACCAGCAGACCAGGCTGCCCAGAGCCACATCCAGCCTGGCCTTGAATGCCTCCAGGGATGGGGCATCCACAGCCTCCTTGGGCAACCTGTTCCAGTGCATCACCACCCTCTGAGTGAAAAACTTCCTCCTAATATCTAACCTAAACCTCCCCTGTCTCAGTTTAAAACCATTCCCCCTTGTCCTATCACTGTCTATTTTCTTCAACAGTCTTGACATTGTCAGCTTTTTTTTTGTCAGTTACCTTTTATTCTTTATTGAGGGGAAGAACAGTCACTGTTTTAGATTGTTTCTGCTTTTTGCTTGTTCTGTCATCTTTTTCTCCACCTTGTCCTTGCTTACGCAGCAACAGAAGTATGATTATGCTGTCCAAATCCTTTATTAAATTTAATTAAGCCTGTACAATGAATAATTTTCATTCTTCCTTACGATATACAAAACTGCATAATTAAAAACAAGGAAAATGAGCGAGACAGGTATTAGACTTACAGTGTTAATTGGCAGAGCAAGTCAAGGGTAGTAAGAATTTCTTGTCACCAAGCCGCATTATGGATTGTTTTTCATGTAGTGAATGCCAAACATGGAAATATGCAGGGTTACTGGGGAAAGTTAAAAAGGATTGCTTGTATGTCTTATCAAGATACACTGTAAATTGAAATACCTTGATAAGGTCAGAAGTTCACTTTCCTCCAGGGAAAAAAGAAGCTGCTGTGGTAGATCTCATATAATTTCACAAAGTGCAGTCTTTCCAGTTCCAGAGCAGTAACACCTGGAATTTCTTGTGGTTTTTTCCTTTATTTTTTCCCTCTGAGCCCTTCTAAGGAGGAAGGAAAGAATCTTTTCTCTTCCCAGATCTTAAGCATCTTGCTGTCTGTTATTCCCATGACAAGTTGGAACACTTGCTCCTTCCTGAGAAAGATTCCCATTCTTACAATGGAAATGAGGTTAAATAAAGTCTAAGTGAAGGAAGAATTACCTTTCAGCTTTTTTGTTGTTTGTAGCCTAATTGCCCTTGGCATAGAACGTCAAGATAGCTTGCTTTTAGTTTGTTTCATATGCTAAGGTGATGAAAATCAGCGTATACTCTTTTCACTTTACAGATATTTAAAATCTTTCCACAAAATTTGAATGAAGAACTGAAGAAAAAGTTAACCTTCATTCTCTGAGCTCTGATTTTTCTCATCTGCAGTTGATCAGCTTCCAGTGTTTAGGGTTAAAAATGATAAGTTGTACATACATTCTAGATAGTGAATTAAACGTCTCAGCACAATATTGTTATTTTTAAAATTATTCCATGTGAAACCTGTGCAAGCAGTGCACCTCTGGTTGCATTCATAGGTTCACCTAATCCTTAAAAGTGAACACGCATCTGTGCATAACCTGTGTATCTGCTACCATCTATGCAGCTGATGACAGATAGGAAACTAAAATTTAATCAATTTTAAGAGTTATTTGGATTTCAGAACTGTATCTAGTACATGGAAGTTCTTTGAAAATAGTTTCTAGAGTGGAACTTAATGTGATGTATGTTATGCAAGATGTTCTTACATTAAGTGTTTGGTGTTTTACATACAGAAAATTGATGCACAAGCGATTGAAGAATTCTACGGGTTGACGTCAGACATCTCAAAGAACTCTGAGTCTGGTTACATCCTCTTCTATCAGTCTCGGGATTGAGGGGGAGTTACAGTGAAGAGAGATTGTTACGCCTCGCATCTTCTCTATCTTGGATTGGAGCAAGCACTGAAAGAAAGGAAGCTGGAAGCTCCAGGGGCAGTAGCACAGTTTGCACACGGCTAAGCAAAGAACTTGGGATTTTTAAGACCTTTGTATCATTTTCATTTTATTTGCTCAGGTATCATGCTGACTGCACATCTCCACTGCATCTCATAAGCAAAAAAGAGATACCAGCCACTCTTGCAGGAGCTTTCTGTTAGGATGTACTGTCTTCAAATACTGGTCCTAATTCAAAGCCTATTAAGGTCACTGGAAAACCTTTCATGGAATTCAGTGGAATTTGAATCAGATTCTAGCAGCACTGCCAGATTGGTGCAATAGGAGCATTAGAGATCTCTATTTTATATAGACTTCACATGTAAGAGGTAAAGGACTCTTTGTAAACTTAATTTCCTGTGCTTAATTTTGAAAGAACGAGGCTGGAACGTTACTGTGTAAGCAAAAAGATATATCTGGGCCCAATTGCCTTCTTGATAGTAGTAGTTTAACCGAAGATACAAACTAGTGTCAGGGAGGCAAATTATGTCTTGCTTCTCTGAAGAAGCTTACGTTATTTATAATGTATGATCGGGAACAATCAGTCAAGATTATGGCTTTTAGTCTCCGTATGGGGAAAGGTTTGGTTTGTAATAGCATATGTTTATTTATAAATTATTGTTACTTAGGATCTTGTTACTTAGAATCTCATTTATTCTAGCTGGTATTGGGGATTTTATGTATTAATTTGAATTAAAACTAATTATGTTTAAGTGTTTAAAAAAAAAAAGAGAGAGCTGATATAAAGTCTAAAAGCAATGCCTGCAATGTCTTTAAAAATGAGTAACATAGAGAGATTTCCTTCTGGAGGAACTGGTATCTAAGTGGGGTACTTTTATTAAATCAGAATATTATCTTTCCATTAATGTGTAAAAAGTGATCAAAATAATACATAGAAGACTTTAATGAATGCATATCACAAGAAAAAGGTGGTGTGGTGGTGGTATACCAGTCTTGATAGTTCTTTAATTGTTTGTTAATGTCTTGTGCTCTAAGCAATTTGGAACCATTCTCAGAATATCATTCCCTCTCCTAAAAATGGATCCACTTATGTTACTTATGTTGGTCACGTGGGTGACTGTCTCAAAAACCACTCAAGATCTCAAGTACAAATTGTGTCTAAGCAATAAAAAGAAATAGGCTTAGAATTTCATGAGACTGGAGATAAACTACAAATTCCTTTAAAAGTAGTATAAAGAAGAGGATTTTTCACCCCTAGGGTGAAAAATTCTGAAACCAACTGCTTATACTTCACTTTAGGTTTATGAAATAGCATTAAGAATTAAATCTTGACAAAACACCTGATCTGTAATAAATGTGAACTACTGTGATTTGACATTCTTCCTCTTAACAGTACTTTGTCTGTCAGTAGCTGAATGTAACTTCTGGAAAGTGGGGGGATATTCATTCCTGATGATGGCAATCAAGTTTCGGATGTCCTTGTCTCCCTTCTTCAGCTAATGATTTCTACCTTATTGTAGTTTTCTAAGGTCATTTTATTGATACTGTTGCAAACTTTAAAAAGAATGTCTCCTGTCTGCTGCTATAACCATTTACTTACCTGTATCTTTTAGCTCAGGAAATGACTTCACCTATTCACTCAGTTGAACTAATCTTTAACAGGGTCACTGAATAAATTGGGCTATTTAGCAACTGTCATACTGTAACAAACTGCTTTTGTAAAACACAAAGTTTCTAAAGCCCTGGTTAGGCTAGAACACTTTTATATAAAATCATTTATAGTGATCAAACTGTCTAAGAACCAGCATTGCAAAGTAGAGCTTCAATATTGTGGGGGATGCAGAAAATACAATTGGATTTTTCTTAAGGAATTAAAATAATTTTAAAACCTTTTTTCAGCTTTCTGTGGGAAAAGGGCTAACAGGTGAGGCAGTTGATTAATGCTGCACATTAAAGGATGAAGTCCTTTGCATACTAAAGGTACAGTATTGTAAAAGAACTAAAGAACTGTCGTGTTTCTTTTTTACTAATTGATAAATGTTTGGTCCTTCTTTTTTTGTGGCGTAGCTCAAAGCTGAGGCTAGTTGCTAAATACTTTATACCCTAACGAAATGTAAAACACTTGTGTTTTATTCACTGGTTTTACTTCTGCAACTTATTTTTGTAAGACACTGACTTTTATTTTGTGTAGGGTTTTTGAGATAGTATTCCAAATTATATATTTCACTTTGCTTTTTTTTTTTTTTTTTCAGCTGAAATAATTGTAATTTCTCAATTAAGCTATTATCAGAAACTGCAACTATGTTAGAAAAAGTAAAGAAGCAGGGAAGTGCAGAATATAACTGTTTGGTATGTAAAGCAGTATGGAATTATTTCTTGACTATAATACAGGGGGGAGTGTGGGAAAGTTGTCATTTGTTGTAAATGGTGGAAATGATTTGCTGTGTCACTATGTAAAATGTTAATTGGGACTACGGTCCTCTATTTTGTATATTGGAACAGAAACTAATATGAAATAAAATATGTTCTCTAAAGGTAAGTACTGCACCCTTTGCAGAGCCCTCATGGTCAGTCTGCTGTCTTCTGTGCTTTTCAGTGTTTCACACCCTAAGTATCTGGAGTGTCCTGTGTTAGGCTGACAGCCCTGAGCTGTGGGAGGAACGTGTTTAAATGCAGTGCCTTTTATATCTCAGTTTGTTGTTACAAAAGTAGTTCTATGGCAATTACATTTTTCATGATGTAGTTCTCTAGAATTGGTTTTTAAGTCGATTGTTGGTTTCTGAGTTAGAGAAGAGAGGGAGTATTTTGGAATACTGTTCTTCCTGATTTCCTCTAAAGATCAGAACTTTATAAAGAGTGCATCCAAGTTACCTAACGGGTTGCCACTTTGTGGGAGTGGAAGCTGAAGGAATGAAAAGTCAGAGTATTTACAGAGCTAGCATAAGAGAGAAGTGACTGACCAAAGAACTGGAACTCAGCATCAGAACTAAAAATGCTCCTGATGACAATATCCAGTGTGATTTGGTTTCAAGTCATTTTCCACTTGGGAACTCTACTGTTTGTAATGAATAGACATAGTACTTACAAGCAGATCGTACCCTGCTGTATTTCAAGTTGTGATTACTACATCTGTGGCCTTTCACTGTGTGGAACAGGGACTTAATCATTCACACACGTACCTTAACATTGAATTATGTTGTCAGAAGTTTGTCATGTATCAGTTTGCGTATCTTTAGGTGAAATTCAGATGTTAGCACATAGGGATTTTATACCATTTCAGATCTGCCTTAGTCATCTGCATGGACTGGCAGCCAGACCACAAGACCTGCAGAAGGTCTGCATCCTCCTGGAGCAGCAGCTCAAAGCTGACCAGGACATCCTGGCATGCTCCCCATGTCTCTGTCTCAGCGTTTCCACACGCAGCATTGCATGCACTTCTTGGTGCATATACGTGTATAACTTTACATTACTTTGGTACTTTTTTTTGCAGTGATGTTTGTAAACCTGAAGTATGTGAGGCCACTAGTTACTTTCACTATTAAAATGAAATTTTTCTTACGTTATTTGGCCTGGTCTCTCAGCTGTGGGTCCAAGATGACCAGTGAAAGCATCTTTTTGAAAGAAATTTTGATATGTGAAATCTTCAGTTTTCATTTAGCAAAAATTAATTTATTTCAAGATAAGTAGGTACGTATGCAACTTTTCTTCTGGAAGTTTAAATAATCCAGATGCAGATAATCCAGATGCAGCTTGTTTGCTCTCCTAGAGTGGTTTTACAGTCTAAGTTGTTCAGTTTTTCCCCTCATGTTTGTCTGGATTGAATTGAAGATTATACTGAAATCTAAAATCAGTCTTTGCTTTCCCTCTTGATGTGAACATTTCATGGGCTCTAACTTGTGAGGTTTTCAAAGCCCTCTAACTTCTCACAGAACGATGTGAGATGTGGAATACATCAGTCTCTACATGCAAGCCTCCAGATACTCAGTTATTACTGGAATTAATATTCTCCATCATCTGTACTCAAGGGCTGTCCATTTTGCTGAATCCTTGCTTCTGATTGATTGTTACAGGTGAGCTATGCAGGTCAACTGCCGTGCAAACAAACAGTGGCTTCATCTTTCAAATACAGAGATCTCTGAAATCTGTTTCCAGTTTTATTAATAGAGTCTGATGGGGCACAAATAACTTTGTTTGGTCTGTATTCAAAACATTCGCAATGTGTCTCTTTTGAAGTAAGCCAAACCTCACAATGTGCTATCATGGTTGATGAGTTCTTTTTGGGGGAGCTTGTTTAAGAACGTGTTGGATATATAAGGAAGATTGCAGATAACATCAGCGTTAAAAGGAACTGCATAATATTTTTCTTCCCAGGAGCTCAAATGAATTATATTCTTCCTTTTCCTCTAATGGCTTGTGATTGGCTCTACATAAGAGTTTTTAAGGAATCAGATAAAGGCAGAGATGCTGCCTGCCAGCTCTCTGTATAGAATTCCTGATGGCAACATCAGGGAGCTTTAATTACAGGAGGATCATATCTGCATTCCACAGGTTATGTGAACCAGGAGAGAGGTTGCCTAGCACGGATCTTGCAGAGAATGTGGAGAGGAACTTCAGTATTTTCATAAGTAATTGTAGATTTAATAAAATAAAAATAAAATTTAAAACAAAAAAACCTAAAAGGTAAAATACTACATTTTATATGGATTTCTAGTGTTTTGGGGGAGGTAGGGTGTATTCAAAACACTGTGCCATACTCTGGGCTTTTCTTCCTTATTAAAGAATTGTGCTTTTTTTTGTGTGTATGTTTTATTTGTTCTTTAGGTCTGCTAAATAAGTGAACTCCATTTCAAAGTGGAGTCCAATGCTTAACATTTCTTGCATTGAAAAGAGCTGGAGCTGTTTTGTCTGTCCCTTTCTGGTGAAAGTTCTCTTCAAATGCAGACATATTTGGAGTCATGGCATTGAATAAATGCCACGATTTTGAATTACCTTTCATTGTATTTTTAAAGAAATTCTGGAAGCCATTCTGCTTTTCTCCCTAGCATTGTTAGGGAACCTGAAACATATTTAGAAAATGAATTTATTTTTTTTTAATAGAAAATACCTTCAGATTATTTTAGAGATTGCTTGAGTTCAGCATGGCAATATTACAGTATTATTAGAATGAGCAAAAGAACCATTAGGAGCTAGATACCGAGGAGGGAGAATACAGTGGCACTACCAAACACAGTGCTAATAGGACCCAGGTTTTACTAAGATACATTTCCACAGAATCATAGAACAGAACCACTCAGGTTGGAAAGGACCTTAAAGATCACCGAGTCCAACCATGACCTAACCATACTACCCGAAGTAACAACCTGCTAAGTTCCTGAGCAGAACAGCACAGAAAAGTTTGGGTTGGAAAGGACCTTTAAGATCATCTAATTCCAACTACCTGCTATAGGCAGGGACGCCTTCCCCTAGACCAGGTTCCTCAAAGCCCGTACCAACCTGACCTTAACATTTCCAGGGAGAGGGCACTTGCAACCTCTTCCCATATTCACACTAAAGAATTTCTTCCCTCATGTCTAGTCTAAATCTACTCTCTTCCAGATAAAAGCCATTACCCTTTGTCCTGTTGCTACGTGCCCTTACAAAAAGTCTTCACGAACTTTCATTAAGGGCCCCTCCAGATACTGGAAGGCCACTATAGGGTCCCCTTGGAGCGAAAAAGGGAGATGAAATAAGCTCTAGTGAAAAAGGAGGCTGAAGGAAGCTCTAGTGAAAAAGAGAGATGAAAGAAGCTCTAGGGAAAGAGAGCTGGAAGAAGCTTTAATGGAAAAGGAAGCTGAAGGAAGCTCTAGTAAAAGGTGAAAGGAGCTCTAGCGAGAGCTGGAAGAAGTTCCAGCAAAGAAGGGAGGTGAAGAATGCTCCAGCGAAAGAGCTGAAGGAAGCTCTGGTGAAAGAGAGCTGAAAGAAGCCTTAGCGAAAGAGTGCTGAAAGGAACTCTAGTGGAAAAGGGACCTGAAAGAAACTTGAGCAAAAGAGAGCTGAAAGAAGCTTTAGCAAAAAAAAAGGAAGCAGAAGGAAGCTCTAGCAGAAGAAGGAAGCTGAAAGAAGCTCTAGCAAAAGAAGAAACTGAAAGGAGCTCTAGCAAGGAGGAGATAAAGGAAGCTCTAGCAAAAGAGCTGGAAGAAGCTCTAGCAAGAGAGTTGAAAGAAGCTCTAGCAAAAAAAGGGAGCTGAAGGAAGCTCTACTGAAAGAGCTGAATAACGCTCTAGCAGAAAAAGAAACTGAAAGAAGCTCTAGTGAAAACGGGAGCTGAATGAAGCTCTAGCAAAAAAAAAAAGGGAGCTGAAGGAAGCTCTAGCTAAAGAGCTGAATGAAGTTCTAGTGAAAAAAAAGGAACTGAAAGCTCTAGCAAAAGAGCTGAAAGAAACTAGTGAAAAAGGGAGATGAAACATGGTATAATGACAGAGCTGAAAGAAGCTCTAGTGAAAAAGGCAGCTGAAAAAAGCTCCAGCAAGAGAGTAGAAAGAAGCTCTAGCCAAAGAGAGATGAAAGAAGTTCTAGCAAAAGAAAGCTGAAAGAAGGTCTAGTGATAGAGAGCTGAAGGATGCACTAACAAAAAAGGGAGATGAAAGAAGCGCTAGCAATAAAAGGAGGTGAAAGATGCTCTAGCGAAAGAGAGCTGAAAGAAGCCCTACGGAGAGACAGGCTGGAAGAGGCCGGTTCCTTCTGAAAGAAGGGCAAGACTGAGTGAAGTCCCCCTCCGATTTCCCTTTGCTGGACAAAGGTAGGGATTGATCATGCGAACACTGACTGGGAAGAGGTGCTGCTTGTTCTAAGGAATGCCACTACTAAGGAATTTATACAACAAAAGGCGCTGGAGTGGAAGCTATTGGAACTCAGCTTCCTTCAAAACAAAGCTTGCAGATCCTGAGCCTACAGCTCCGAGAGGAGGATCAAACCTCCAGACGTGGTGGTGGTCAGCGAGTGGGAGCAGGAGCTGTGAAAGCTGCTGCTGCTGAGCTGTATGCTGGTATTTGGACTCGCACTCATTCCAGCTGTTGGCATTGGTGCAGTGTGTTTTTCTGAACCTTTTAGCTGTTGTACCGGTTGTTCAGTGCTCCAGAAAATTCTAAGACAAGCCTAACAACATTGAAAGTATGCTTGAAAGTTGTGCTATGCCTGAATTCTAAATTAGAAAACAGTATTTGCTATTAAATGATGTCTTCATGCGCAGCAGATTGGCAATGTAGGAAGCTTTCTAATATTTGGTTGTATAATTCAACTTGACTGGCTGAATATCTTCTGGTGTGTAAGAATGCAATGTGTATATTTACAACTGTATGTCTTACCTGCACTTGCTTGGCTTTCATAATTCTGGTTCTGAATATGTAATTTCAGTGATTTAAAAAATAATAATAACAGATTTTTACTATTAAAAATAATATATATATAAAAAAATAAATAGGGGGAGTGCAGGTATGACCCCTCAGGAAAGAATAGCTAAATAGCTTTGTTCTTAATTTTCTAAGTCGTTGGACAGTGATAACGTGGGGCCGAGACTATGCTTGTGTCTTAACAGGAACACGTTGGAGATGGACACAGCATGATGGGTCATGATGATGATGATCTGCCTCATCATCTGCTGTAACATGATCACAGACCCTTCATCAATGGTTTGGGTTCTCACCAACAGCACGGGACAAGACACACTGCACTTGTCAACTGTGTCACCAAGGAGTCATAAGAATTTGAACCGTTGCGATTGGTTGATACGGACTGTTGTTTGGACTCTAAAGAATCCATCGTTTGTTCGGTGCGTTAATTTTAGTTTAGCTACTTTTAGGAATGTTTCTGAACCGTGCTTCTTCTATTAATAGAGAAGGGGGAGATGTGGCATAAAGGAAGTCATTATCTTGCTAATGAGTAAAGAAGCTCAGCAGTAACTTGAGCCAGACATAAACACACACAAGGTGCTTGGCTTCTACATGTGACCAGTTGTTGTTGTGCGGGTATAAAAGGTTGTAAGCACCTACAATAAACCTTCTTCATTCTGTACCAGCAAGAGAGTCTGCGCCTCTCTCACTGCACCAGCAAGGGAGCCTACAGCTCTCTTCCACACTCTGTGTTCTTCTTGTGCTGGGGGCTCCGGAACTGGATGCAGTACTCCAGGTGGGGTCTCATGAGAGCAGAATAGAGGGACAGAATCACCTCTCCCAGCCTGATGTTCACGCTTCTCTTGATGCAAACCAGGACACAGTTGGTCTTCTGGGCTGCAAGCACACACTGCTGGCTCATGTTGAATCTCTTATCAGCTGACATCTCCAAATCCTTCTCCTCAGGGCTGCTCTCAAGCCATTCTCCACCCACCCTGTATCTGTGCTTGGGATTGCCTTGGCCCAGGTGCAGGACCTTGCACTTGGCCCTGTTGAACTTCATGAGGTTGGCATGGGCCCACCTCTCAGGTCCCTCTGGATGGCATCCCTTCCCTCTGGCGTGTCAACTGCACCACTCAGCTTGGTGTCATCTGCAAAGTTGCAGAGTGTGCACACAATCCCACTACAAAGATGTTAAATATCACTGGTTCCGTGGTACTCACAGAGCAGCCACCAAGAGCCTTCAGTGAGTATCTGGAGGAAACATGCATTCGACAAGAGTGTGCTTGCTATGTATATGCAAAGCTTTGAGACTGACCACTGGGTCTTTCCATTTCCTTTTTGAGAAAACAGGGAGGCTACGTTGAAGACTCAACTGTGATAGTTACTCACTTTTTATGTTGTAACTTTCTGGTTTTTCTGAATTGCAAATTAGGAGGAGGGATGCCAATAGAAGACCATGAGCTATTTTCCACACACACGTATCAAAACACTAATTAGCCTTTTTTTTCTTCTATTATATTACATGCAGAAAATTCATAATTCACCAGTGAAGAAGTGAGACAAAAGCCACTATGTTTCTAAGCTGTTTTCTTCTTTCTGCATTATGGGGTTGTGTGCAAGTACATATTTATAGAAAAAAAAGGTTAAAAAAAGAGCTTTGGCATTTTTTAAAAGTATGCATGATAATCGTTGTGCTTCAGTGAGTAATAGTAATTGTTAAGGAACACAAAGCAGCAGAACATTGCTCTTGGCTAAATTTGGTAACTTTTAAAGGTAAAACTAACAAGAATATTGTAAGCTTTTTGATAAGCATTACAGACTCAGTGATGTGGGGCGATGAGAGGGAGAAGAAAGCTGACTGTGCAGGCTGATAGCAGGATGTTTGCAGTATACAAACTATCAGTCTGCACTACAGGACTGCGGGTCTAAACACTGGCATCTTCTGTTGTTTGTGCTATGATATGTGCAAATGCACCAGTAGCCACAGCTGTTCATTCAGTGGATAACTTTCCTGAAAAACACATCTATGAGAGTAGTTATAAATATTTTTTAAACCTCACAAATGTCAGTTTCAATATAGGAAATATGAAAACACAGCTGCCATGTGTCACCAAGAATGAGAAATTGTGGCTTTCTGGGGCTGCTTAATGTCACAGAATCATAGAATGGTCTGGGCTGGAAGAGACCTTAAAGCACATCCAGTCCCAAGCCCCTGCCATGAGCTGGCTGCCACCTCCCAGCTCAGGCTGTGCAGGGCCCTATCCAACCTGGCCCTGAATGCTTTCAGGGATGGGACATGTGCAGCTTCTCTGGGCCATGGCCTCACCATCTTCAGAGTAAATAATTTCTTCCTTACATCTAATTCAATTCTACCCTCTTTCTGTTTAAAGCCTTTATTCTTTTCATCCCTGTGACCTCCTCT